CACTCTTATTTCACCAATTTACATAAGGTTTAAGTAAATTACAGTAACAAATAGAGTTGGCATAAACAGGTTTGAGGAAAAAACATAACTGCCTCTTGGTAAAGTATTATCAGGCAACTGATGGGAGAAGCAGGCACAAGAGAGAATAATCTACCAATGTGGGATATTCAAGAATAGGCTTATGGAAGGAATGCAGAACACTGGGGACTGTGATAAGTGAGTTAATGCAAGTTGTTTAAGAGAGCTTCTATTATACAGACTTCTCACCCCCTCATTTTCAGACCGTTCAATAACCTGCATTCCCCCTACCTAGCAAATTTTATTCCCCACAAGAACCCTCCCTTCAATTACGTATGTTCTATCCCTCTCCTTTTGCTTTTACTGAGTTTGTCCTAGTCATCTAAAAAATGCCGCTTTTCCTGCCTATAGAAATTTTACCATCCTTCAAACCCAGCACAAAGACTTCTCACGACCAATTCAGGCATCATTATCTCCCTTTCCTACGAGCTTATATAGTACTTAACAGGCTACATCACACAATTTATCCCTTTATTATATGGTAATCCTTCATTATCCCCTTTTTCCTGCATTAATCTTTCCCTTTCTGCTGGATTTTTCCTATTACCACACAAGTATGTTCTAGTCTCTTCTAACTTTTTTTTAAGTACTAAAAGGTACATACTCCCCAAATACCACACTATTTCTCCTCTCCCCTTCTCAGCCCTGTTTCTTGAAACAATTGCCTATTCATGCCACACCTCTTCCTCACCTCCCTTGTACTTTAACCCTCTTTAATTCACTACAGTATGGGCTTCCTTGACACTCTCGTCAGAAGCAGTAACAACCTCCATACTGTCCAATCCAGTGATTTTTTTGTCCTCTTTACTTGACCTTTCAGTGCCATTTAATGGTTGAGGGCTTCCTCTTTCTAGAAACTTCCTCTTGCCTTCTGAGACATTACTTTCCTGATTTTTTTCTCTCCCCATTGGCTGATAATCTCAGTTTTCTTCCCCTAGTCCTCCTCTTCTAATAGACAGCTAATGTCAAGTGTTTTCAAGGATCCATACCTCTGCTCTCCCGCTAAGTCAGAGGTTTACAAGAGGGACAGACCAACTCCTAAGGGAATTTTAGAAAATTCTATGGGTGTATTTGTGGAGAATAGTTGTAATATTTAGAAGGAAGGGCCAGAGAAGCTAGGTGTCCTGCAATGAAAGAAATAGTTCCCTACAATGAAGAGTTGTCTCATGTCATGACCTTCAAATGTCCTACAAGATAATCACATAGGATTAAAAACCTAACTCATTTTACAGATAAGAGTGTAATGGGGGGAAAAAAAGTGTTGTAATGAAGTTTTCATATACATAATTGTCAAGAAATACAACCATCATGTAAATTAAGGGAAAATTCTGCTTTTCCCCATGAGTCGATTATTTTGAAAAATCAGATAGCAGTGAAGGACTATCTGAGATGTCAAAACTGCACAACTGTCTCACTCAGTATGAGGAGTCAGATTCATGTGATTTTTACATATAGGTGAGACACTCCCTACCTTGTATCCTTGCTTTATTTTCTCCATAGTCTCATCATCTATCAGTTTACCTTTTAATTATCCTCTTTATGAACTCCATCCTCCCACTAAAATGTGAGTTCCATGATTAAAGAAATTTTTGTCTTATTCACTACTATATCCCCAGCACACTGTACTATACCCAGTACAGCGATAGACATATACAAAGGCTTAATAAATATTCATGGACTCAATCTGATTACTTCTTACCTTCTACTGTGATCATGAACAAGTACTTCTAAATTGAAACACATACTAAAAAAATTCTCTAATTTGTCATACTACTAGTTAGAACAATATATTGATTTTTTTTTTTAACTGTGAGGCTAGGTTACATTGGCCATAAATATCATGCCAGCACAGTAAAGAGTGGATTTCAAAATACCTGCTATATAAAGGGGGCACTGGGTCTCACAGAGTGGAAAAGCACTGGCCTATATGAGCTCATTTCTAACTCACAAACCTGAACAAATCTGAACACCATACTCACAAATCTAACTTCCTCGTGGACAACTCCAATTAACATCTCAAACCTAACACATCTAAACAGAAATTGATTCTTCACCTACTCAATCAATCTCTACAAATCCTATGGAGCCTCAGAAAATTAGCCCAAAGATTCCAGAAAGCTACGAGTCATCTTTTAGTTTCCCTTTCCCTGGCCCCCTACTCCAGTCAACCAACAAATCCTCTAGAGTCTATCTTCAAGGTATATCTGGAATCCATCCACTTCTCTCCATTATCAAACCAACATCTTGGCCCCCACCTTTTCTTTTTTGAACTATTATAGAATCTCCTAATTAGTTGCCTGCTTCAGCTCAGTCCATACTCCAGACAGCAAAAAAAAAAAAAAAAAAAAACTAATCTCAAAAACCGCTTCCCACAGAATTTAGAATAAAATCTATACTCCTAATCATGGCCTCTAAGATCCTGCATGATTGGCTCCTTGACTAACTCTCCCACTTTATCTTACACCACATGTCAGCCACACCCATCTTCCTTCCCTTCCTAATACACTCCCTGAGCAGCTGGCTCCTCCTCATCCAGCAGGCCTTTGATTGACACTTCCTCAGAGGTCTCCTGATTTCCCAACCTAAAGTAGATGTTCCCTGTTAATCTCTATTGTTTTCTTCCATGACACTCATCATAATTACCTATTTAATCATTTCTTTATTTTTTAATGTCTGTCTCTTCCACCAAAATATAAACTCCATAGAACTAGGAACCAAGTCTATGTTGTTCGCTATCAGATATGCATCAGCTACACCAGAGACTAGCACTGGGCCTGTCAAATAGCACTCAATAACTATTTGCTGAAAGAAGGAATTAAAAGTCACTCTTGAATCCAACCCCTCCTTCACCATCAAAACCATTTATTACCAAGGCATGATGATTTTACCTAAGCGATGTCCCTCAAGGGGTGCCTGGGTGGCTTAATCAGTTAAGCATCTGCCTTCGGCTCAGGTCATGATCTCAGGGTCCTGGGATCGAGCCCCGCTTTGGGCTCCCTGCTCAGCCAGGAGCCTGCTTCTCCCTCTTCCCTGCCCCTGCTCATGCTCTCTCTTGCTATCTCTCTCTATCTCAAATAAATAAATAAAATCTTAAGTAAGAAAAAAGAAAGGGAAATGTCCCTCAAGTCTTTCTCCTCTAATCGGTTCCCACAGACATTCCCAACATGCACATATTGCGTGGATCATTTTATCACCTTCTTAACTGATTTTCCTGTATCATCTCTCATCTGTCCAGTCCATCAATAACATTACCACACAAGTCATCTATAAACAACCTAATAATAAACATCATCATTTTTCATTTCTCCTTAAAAAGTTCTCTTTGCTTGCCCCTGCTTATAAAATAAAGGAAAAATTATTCAGTACAGAAAATGAGATTTGGTACCAACCTACCTTTCCAGCCTCATCCCCCATAACCTCCACTACCCACATATTCCCTTTTACTCCAGACATGTCTCAAACTAAGATAGTTCCCTGAACATACCATGTATCCCATTTCTGTGCCTTTGATGTTCCCTCTGCCTAGTAAAATCCTGATGTCCTTCAAGATTCAGCTCAAATGTCTTTTTCTTAGGAAAACTTCCTAAACCTTCAGAGACAGAATGAAGTTTCCATATTCTACAACACTCATCAACTTGTCTAGAGAGGCAGTGTTAGCACAGTGGTTAAGAGAACAGACCACAAGTCTATTTACAAGGTTAAGAAACCTTGGGCAAATTATTTACTGTTCCTAGGCCTCAGTTAACTGTAATATGGTATAATAATATAATAGCAGGACTGTTATGAGGAATAAGAATTAAAAAGTAGTTAGCAAAGACCTGGCAATAATGAGATTCAACACATGTTAGCTATTAGTTATTAAACTCTATAGGTCAGTCTCTGAGCTACCTGAAAGCAAAGACTATGCCCTGGTAATGTGTGTATTCCCATTACTTAACATCTGGCCCAAGAACACACTCAGCATCTGTTTCTCAAGTGAAAATGAAGTTGGGAGTAAGAATGACCATGGCAATGTTTTTTGGGGGGGTAACTGCAGTTATTAAGTCAGAGAACCTTTAGGGAACATCAAGAATATTTTATATTGAGATGAAATCAGGCTGTGTATTATCCTGTAGCTGTCAACTCTAAGCATTACCAGCCCAAATGATTATTATTTTAATGCTCTGGCTCATCAAGTCAATTTTTATTACAGTTTTTACTTGGCTTCTTTTAAACTCTGGGTTATTACTTTCCAGGCCCTAGGCCTGTGCTAATTTGCATGAGTTTTAAACTAATCATCTGGCTTAAAAAGCAATTTTGCAATTTAAATCCATGGCACTTAATTCGCTCCCTACCTCAAGGCACTAAATTACCCTAAAACAGCTCATCATACCTACCAGCCCATACAAGAGCAGAAAGCGTTATGGTTGTGTTTTAAAACTTACACTGATGATTCAGAGAATGTTATGCTCAAGAGTGGATCGCCTCGCCTTGTAGGTCTCCAAGTGCCCATAGCGGGCTGTTATCTACCTTCTTAACGTGATCTCCATCACTTGGGCTCGAGAAGCCACCTCTCCTTAAACAGAAGAACGTACACGTGTGTGTGTATGTGTGTGTGTTTCGGTGGCTACGCGGATATGCCTCGGCATCTCCTCCTGACTGGCAGGTGGCCTATTACGAGTCCTGACATCAGGGTCACCCCCGCATGCAGAGCAGTAACTGCCTCCCCGCGCGGCGCACTCCGCCGCAGACGCCCAGGAGCGGTGCACCCATCACATGGGCTGCAGTCTCGGCAGTCAGCCCTCAAGGGAGGACTTGGGCAAGCACCGCACAAAGGACGGCAGTCGAAAGGAGAACGGGCTGAAGAGCTGGGGGCGAGGTGGGTAGGATCCTTCAAGGGCTTGGCACTCCCTGTGTTTTGAGGGGCAGGACCTTGCACCAACCTCCACGAAGGCATCAGTCAGGTCACTAGCTCGGTCCATCACTGGCAAATGGCGCCCGGCCACGATTTTCACCTTCAGCTTCCCAGGCATCTTCTCGGCTTCGGCCTCTCCTTGGGCTCCTGCAGAAACAAACCAGCGAGTCTGCGCCGAGCTCTTAGCCCGGCGGGGGGGGGGGGGGGGGAGGGGCGGGAGCGCGCGGGGAGCTGCGCGCGCCGCAGGGAGCGCGCGGGATAACTGACAGCGGAGGGCGCGCGAGGGCGCGCCATGCCGCCGATCGTCACTCACTCTCGGATGAATGAGGGGGCCGTCCCGCGCGGGCGCTGAGGCCTCATTCCGGAGAGGCAGTCGGAGGAGTGGCCCGGGTGGATTCTTCTACCCCGGTCCCACAGAGCTGGCAAGAGAAACAAAAGCCAGTCAACATCCCGTGGAGGCTCTGCCACCCCTACTTGTGTTTTCCTCCCCCCAAAATGGCGGCTCTCGGGGCGTGGAGGAAACATCGATCATTCGGCGCTCGGCCCACTCCGCAGGGGAGAAATTAAATTCACGGAAAGCAGATGGCGGGGGCGGGACGGACTTCGAGGAAGCCGGAGGGCAGGGAAATGGGTCGAGCCCTGCATCATCCACCGAGCCAGGGCTGTAGGTTGGTGCCCCGCTCTTTGAGAGCTGACTCTGTCCTTCGGGGGCGAATCACTCGTAGAGCTCGGTTCGGTGACTTCCCGGGTCGCCCCCTTCCCAGCTACAAACGCTGCATTTTCGAGGGGTGTGACAGAAAGAGCAGCGGCGGAGACTGCCAGAGGAGGGACTTCAGTCGGCCTTTAACCACCAGTTAGTGGTTTGTAAAATCAGTTTAGCTGGTTTCTACCTGGAAAGGATGCAGTTTTTGTTTTATATGAAGGAGAGTAGGAAATTTCAGGGACATCTCGGGTAATCAGGTAAGTATTCTATAGCAACATTTTTTATTCAGTCATATACACGTGTACTGGGTTAGAGATGTTACTGTAGGTCTTGGGGAAAAACAAAACTTTGAAATCCAAAACCACTGGTTAAAGGAGTTTCCCCTGCACGCCTGGATTGGCTCAGTGTGTTTATTAAGCATCAACAACCCTAAGACCTACTTTGCTGGCAGGAGTTCATGATCTCCTACCCTATGAAATTTCTAGTCAACTGCAAGAAACAAAGATGAGCTTAATGAAACACCTTGAACAACCGACCCAATTATATATGTGAATATACATGCAAAAACGAGGCAAAATCTATAGGCTCAAACCATCAGAAAAAATTAGGGAAATTGAGGCAAACGCACAGGATGATACCAAATATCAACAGTACATGTCATATCAAATAACAAAATCACCATTAACAATTCTGGTAGAGGGACGCCTGGGTGGCTCAGTGGGTTGAGTGACTGCCTTTGGATCAGGTCATGATCCTGGAGTCCTGGAGTCCCGGGATGGGCTCCCTGCTCAGCTGGAGTCTGCTTCTCCCTCTGACCCTTCCCTCCTCTCAGGTACGCTCTCTCTCTCATTCTGTCTCTCTTAAATAAATAAAATCTTAAAAAAAAAAAAAAAATTCTGGTAGAAAGATTTTACCACTGGATTCTTTAGGAATGGAAAATTCCCAAATGAAGATTTTTTTTTTTAACTGATTCACCTTTTTTCTTTTTTTAAGATTTATTTGTTTGAGAAAGAGAGCATGGGGGTGGGGGTGGGCAGAGGGAGAGAGAGAGAGAGAGAACCTAGAGCAGATTCTGCATTGACCCAGAAGCCCTTTGCGCGGCTGGGTCTCAGGACCCTGAGATCATGAGGACCTGAAACCAAGAGTCGGATCCTTAACCTGCTGAGCCATCCAGGCCCCCAAACTGATACACCTTTTTAACTTTAAAAATACTGAGGGATCAGTGGATGGAGCAAGTGACTTGAACTTGAGGTTGTGAGTTCAAGCCCCACAATGGGTGTGGAGATTACTTAAAATTAAATATTAAAAAATAAAACAAAATACTGGGGCGCCTGGGTGGCTCAGTCGTTAAGTGTCTGCCTTCAGCTCAGGTCATGATCCCAGGGTCCTGGGATCGAGTCCCACATCGGGCTCCCTGCTCCGCGGGAAGCCTGCTTCTCCCTCTCCCACTCCCCCTGCTTGTGTTCCCTCTCTCGCTGTGTCTCTCTCTGTCAAATAAATAAATAAAATATTTTTAAAAATACCGAATAGGTTTTTAAAGAATTCTCTTTAAAAGGGCAAAAGTTCCTTCTATAGAGGGAATATCGTTCATGTAAGTGAGAAGTTGAAATCTTCCAAAGAGAAAAGAAAAAGGCTTCCTCAAAATAAAAATCTAACAGATAAATCACTGACTTTTCAGACTAGAGAAAACTTCATCCACTCAAACAATAACAAAAGGCTAGATGGCTACAGCTCACGTGCAGATTTCCTTAGATCCTACTGCAGCTTTTTGTGGAATCTACCTCTACTCTTAAAATGCCCTTACCATGGTGAGCAACTTATACAATCAGTTAATTTTGGTGTGTTTTGTTTTGGTGGTAGAGTTGAAATAGCTTTTTTTTTTTTTTAGGATTTTATTTATTTGAGAGAGAACACAGAGGTAGAGAGCACAGAGGGAGAGGGAGAAGCAAACTCCCTGCTGAGCAGGGAGACCAATGCGGGGCTTGATCCCAGGACCCTGAGATCATGACCTGAGCCAAAGACAGACGCTTAACCAACTGAGCCACCCAGCACCCCTGAAATAGCTTTTTTACTGAAATCAAAGTATTACCAATTCATTAAAAAAAAAAAGAAAAAAAATGCTGAGTATCAACAATAGCCAAACTATGGAAAGAGCTCAAATGTCCATTGACTGATGAATGGATAAGAAGACATGGTGTATATATATAATGGAATATTACTCAGTCATCAAAAAGAATGAAATCTTGCAATGATGTGGATGGAGCTAGAGTGTATTATACTAAGCGAAACAAATCAGTCAAAGAAAGACAAATACCATATGATTTCACTCATATGTGGAATTTAAGAAACAAAACAGATGAACAGATGGGGGGAAGAAAAAACAGAGGGAAACAAACCATAGAGATTCTTAAAGACAGAACAAACTGAGGGTTGATGGAGGAAGGTGGGTGGGGGGATGGGTTAGATGGGTGACTGGCATGAAAGAGGGCTCTTGTTATGATGAGCACTGGGTGTTGTATGTAAGTGATGAATCACTGAATTCTACTGAAACCAATAATGCACTGTATGTTAACTAACTAGAATTTAAATAAGAATTTGAAAAGAAAAAAAAATGTACTGAAACATAAAAAGAAAAAAATTAGAAAACTGAAGTTTTGCAACAATCTTAATGGAAAACAATGCTTTGTATTACAAGATGTTGTAATGTAAAAATATATTTGCAAATTGCACAATTAGAGGTTAGCAATCTCAGCCTCCTAATTAGTATCCGGTAAGGTACTTGTACATACCTGTTGCCTTAGGCTTCATTAATGGGAGATTATAATTAAGATGCTTCCTGAAGACTTTTTTTTAGTAGAATTAAGCCTGACTTCGGTTTATTTTCTAATAATTGTACTAGTTTGTTTTAATTAATGCTGGGAACAGTGTTAACTTTCCTGACAAATCTATCATGATCTGGTTCCTAATTAGCTTCTGTAGCTTCATACTTCACCACTCTTTTTGCATCTTAGATCCCATAATAATACTATGTATTGAGTATTTGCTGTGTACCAGCTACTGAATTCAGTGCTTCGCAGCTTTTAAAGCTCCCTAAAATCCTATACAATAGAAATTACCAGCCTTCATTCTAGAGGTGATGAATTTGAAGCTTTGCAATGTTTACTCGATGATGACCCAAAGTCACGGAGCTAGTAATGTTGGAGGCAGGATTTATATCTAGGCAATTTGATTCCAAGAACTCCTCTTTAAAGGCTTTGTGTAGTTTCCTATAAACTATGTTTTTTTCTTTTTCTCATAGTATTCCTAGCAAACACTTAAGAATTCATAACTCGATTTTAATGTCTTCCCTTATCTCCTTCCTGATAAACATACTCTTCACTTCCACCGCTATGCTACCACTAAATTTAATGCATCTGTTATTGCACGTCTATATACATAATTATTTATCTTTCTCTCTCCCCTATTAAACTTTGAGCACCTTGAAGGGAAGGACTATTTCTTGTCCATCTCTCAATTCTCAGTTCCCTCCTTGTGCCCTTCATGTAATCCACAAATGCTTATGCAATTAAATGTTAATAACACATATACATTTACTGCTTTGCTCTCTCTTTTCTGGCTTCCTAAAATGTTCCTTTGAATCCCTCTCCACCCCTCAAGGTTAAACTTCTCAAGGTTTATCTATATTTGGTGCCCTCTCCTCACTTCACAAACACTCCTAAAACTATTTCTGACCTTGGGGAACCTGGGTAGGTTGAGCGACCTTATTCGGTTGAGCGACCAACTCTTGATTTTGGCTCAGGTCATTTTGGCTCAGCGTGGAGTCCGCTTGAGATTCTCTCTCTCTCTTTCCTTCTGCCCTCCCCCTGCTCACATGCACACACGCTCTCTCTCTAAATTAAAAACAAAAACAAAACTATTTCTGACTTTAGCTACAGCCTCTCTACCAAAACAACTTTCTCTACAACTTTCTCCAAGGCCATCAATAACCTTTGATTGCTGAATCTAGTGGACAGTTTTCATTTTACAGGATTCCCAGTAGCATTTGACACTGTTAATCATGTTCCCCTTGAAATGGTTTTCCACTTCATACTCAAATACCATGCTTCTCTTACTGTTGCACCATATATATATTTGCCTTCTCAGCTTCCTCACTGTCCTTAACAAATATGGATTTTCCTCAGGGTTTCAGTTCTTGACCCTCTTCTCTTCTAACTATACTCTCTCCTTAGGTGATCTCATTCATGCATGTAATTTCAATTTCTATCTATTTAGCTGAGGATTCTGACGTTTTTATCTTTAGCCCACAACTTTCTTCTGGTATCTGGACCCATGTATTCAAAATGCCAGGTTCCTATTTCCATTTGGAGTATCGGAGTGACCTTAAAGTCAAGGTCCAAAACTGAACTTATTTTCTTTATCTCTCCCAGAATGACAACAACAGCAATTACCACAACAACAAGAAAATAAAAAGCCTAATCCTCCTCTACTACATTACTGGTCTCAAATTACAGAACACCAGCTACCTAGTCAATTGCTGGAGCCAGAAACTCACTGATTTGAGGGTGGATACAAATGGCAACTTGAACTCTCAGGTACTTTTACTTTGATTTACTTCTAAAGCAGCAAATCAGCTGAGTAAAGGGTAAACGTGAGTTAAATAGCTAGGTCAGCTCTTCTTCCCATTGGTTCCCTTGTATCTCATAAAGGTGTGTCTCGTGTATAGTAGACACAATGTCCTCATTAAGTAAAACGTTCTCTAGATTGGAAGAATCTTGAAGTAGAACACACTGCTTTGTATCAGTACTCAGCAGTGCATTCAGTGAGCCATGCCCCCTAGGTGTAATGGAAAGGTTACAGGTCTTGACTTTCTTTTTTTTTTTTTTAAAGATTTTTTTTTAATTTATTTATTTGAGAGAGAATGAGAGACAGAGAGCACGAGAGGGAAGAGGGCAGAGGGGGAAGCAGACCCCCCGCTGAGCAGGGAGCCCGATGCAGGACTCGATCCCGGGACTCCAGGATCATGACCTGAGCTGAAGGCAGTCGCTTAACCAACTGAGCCACCCAGGCGCCCAGGTCTTGACTTTCTTACTGGCCCAGCACCCAGAACAAGCGCTTCTTATCTGTGCCTGTACAGCAAAGCCTAGAGGTTTCCCGCTTATGTCTACTTAAGGCCTTTGTGGAAAACGCTAGCCACAATTGACGATTATCTTTGACTCTTCGTCTTCCTTACCCATGACACCCAATTAATCACAGTCTTACTGTTTATAACTCCTAAAGATTTCTCAAATCCCTCTACTTTCCACTATTACTTCTCACCTGGAAAACTGCAATCCCCACTTGCACTCTTGCTTTCATCTAATCCATTCACTATAAAGTAGTGCAAGTGATCTTTTTAAATAAATATTCATATCACTTGGTTTTAGGGAAACTGCTTGCCAAAGATCCCCTATTCTTGTCATACCCTTTTCTATATAAGAAAGTAAAAATGTGGGCGCCTGGGTGGCTCAGTTGGTTGGGCGACTGCCTTCGGCTCAGGTCATGATCCTTGAGTCCCGGAATCGAGTCCCACATCGGGCTCCCTGCTCGGCGGGGAGTCTGCTCCCTCTGACCCTCTTCCCTCTCTTGCTATCTGTCTCTCATTCTCTCTCTCTCAAATAAATAAATAAATAAATAAAGTAAAAATGTTCAGAAATTCAAGAGCAGAACATCAGAAGTGGGTTTTTAATTTATTTTTGCCTTCTTAGGTTTTTTAAAGTCAAACTATGGCTTCTCCCCCTTGTATTAATCTATCACCTAGCACTAGATCATTCCCTTTCAACTGAATTATTGTTCAAATGAATTGTTCCATTTCAGTATCTACAAACTGAAATAGGTCCCAATTCACCTCAGTTCATAGGATCCAAGTTACATGCCTGACCCTTAAAAGTTAACACTGTAGGGGCGCCTGGGTGGCTCAGTTGGTTAAGCAACTGCCTTCGGCTCAGGTCATGATCCTGGAGACCCGGGATCGAGTCCCACATCGGGCTCCCTGCTCAGCGAGGAGCCTGCTTCTCCCTCTGACCCTCCCCCCTCTCATGTACTCTCTCTCATTCTTGCTCTCTCAAATAAATAAATAAATCTTTAAAAAAAAAAAGTTAACACTGTATTTCCTCTTATACGTATCATTTTTCCTTTGCCAATTAGGTGGCACTAATAGTTTTGATGATCCTATAAGCCATTATCTTCACAGAGACACTAACACATTAATTGGATTAATTACATTGCTATATAATTTCCTAACCCCTTTGTTAACTTCAAATCTTCTCCTATTGTTAGAGGAGAGTCCAGTAATGTATTCAATGTACCTTGGAAAGCAAACCTAGAGCTATATATTTACTAAATTGTCATGAGCAAGATTCAGCTCCCAGTGTGGACAAGCGTTATTCAACAGAAGAATGCTGACAAGTGGAGAGGTTACTAATTACTACAATTGATGGCAAGAACAAAAGTGAGCTGAGTTGACGGCTAGTACCCTGTACAGCTTACTGTGATAGGAACCCTATTCAGTCTGTTCTAGATAGCTGGGTAAGGGACTTTTAAACCAGCTATTAAGTTGTGTTGCTTCCCACTGGACGGAGTAGTTTCACACATTACTGGTGCTGTACTTGCAGACAGCTGCTGCAATTCAAATGAAGTGAAGCTGAAATTTTAGCAATACTGTGGAAACCATATTGGAATAAGGTAAGTCAGCTACATATCTTTTAATACTAAAGATGTTGGGGCTTTAAAAAGTAAATAAATAAAGATATTGGGACTTGAATAAATATTCCAAATTTAAATCCGGCTGCATACCCTGGGACCGTACCCACTGCTACTCCCCCTTGTGTCTTGACCACCAGGTAGATAATCTGTGTCGTGCTTCCCACTTGAATAAAGAAAATGACCCACCATCTCCCCCAGCTAAGGGAGGTTTGTTCAAACATCCCCTGATTCATCCTAACTCTTCAGTGCCTGTTTACTGCTATTTAGTTAAAAACCAAAATTTAAAATCTAGACTATAAGACTCTGCTAGGTCATGTAACTTGGCCCCCTACCAATGATACTAGCTTTATTTTTCATGACTCTTCCACTGGCCTATGCCATCTGCATTACTCTCCTTTTGACTACACGGCTCATACTTCCCCCACCCCGCTGGGTGTTTTGAGGCATTTCCTCCCCTGCTAACCACTTGGCAACTGGGGGATGGGGAGGACAACTTAGGTGTAAAAAAGATCCTGGCACTGGCGAATGGTGGTAATTTGCCTCCGGTTAGTGAACACTCCCCCTCTTTCCTTCCTGTAACACAGTTTTTGCAAACAACAAAGTATTTTTAAAACTCTATTTCTGTGATCATATTTTCCGCAACAGTGTAAAAGTCCTGAGGCATAAATGAGCATCACTGTGCCTTGGAAAAAAAGTAAGCAAGGTGAAGAATGATAGCTGAGTGCTGAATTGTTGTTGTTGCTGGGGAATTAAATTGACCCTTTATTTGATACTATCTTTCCCATCTCTGGAATAAACCATACATATTCTCACTTGTTGCTCCTATCCCTCTAGAATGGGCCTTCTCTCCCCCCCTCCTCAAATCTTACTGCTTCTTTCAACATCAATTAATATTTACTGACAACACTTCATATAAAGCATAAAATGTAGACTTTGATCTCCAGAAGGTTACAGTTTAGGTGTGTAGATAAAACATGTATACATAATAAATGTAACTATAATAAATGACTATATAGTCGTGGGTATTAACTGAATGATTTGGACAATAAAATATTAAAGGAGTTTGTAAAGATAATTTGGGAATAATTAGGGAAGAAGCCTCACATAGAAGGTAGAATTTAAATGGGACATTTCTAGGTCATGGGGATTCATTTAGAAAAAAAAATCAACAGCAAAAATATTTTAAAAAAAACAAAAAACTATGAAACTATGAGTAAGCTAGTTTGGCTGGAGTTGGGATTTTTTTTGGAGAAAAATGATAATTTGAAAGCTAGGCTATGCCTCGAAATATACATAGCAATCAGAATTGGGAAGGGGGTGATTCAATAGATAAAGCTGATGATCAAGAACATTCTTGTGTAGGCAAAGGAAGCCACTGAAGAATTTTTTTGGTGGAAAGAAGCGTAATTGGAACAATATTTTGGTACAATGACAATTACATGAGGATTCAAGATAAATTGAACTGCTGAAGACCTAAAGCAAAAAAACCATTGCTGTACTTTCTTTTTTTTTTTTAAAGATTTTATTTATTTTTCAACAGAGGGAGAGAGACAGCGAGAGAGGGAACACAAGCAGGGGGAGTGGGAGAGGGAGAAGCAGGCTCCCCACTGAGCAGGGAGCCCGATGTGGGACTCGATCCCAGGACCCTGGGATCATGACCTGAGCCAAAGGCAGACGCTTAACGACTGAGCCACCCAGGCGCCCGCAGTACTTTCATTATTAAATTGGCATGAACATGGTGACAGTGGTAATAGAAAAGAGAATTGAGAAGGATATCATTAAGGAAAAATTGATAAGAATTACACACTATATATCAGGGAGAGAAAGACAGGAAGAAAAAAAGTGCATCTGTTTCAAAACAGAGTAAAAGAAGTGGTGGCATCATTATTAGAAAAAATGAAGTCTGAAAGTCGAGACTGAAAGTCAAGAAAAAAGTTTTGTTCATGTTGAGTTCCATGAAGTCTTCCTCAATTATTCTAATCTGTTTTGACCACCCTAAAACCTGGTGACTTCACAAGAATTCATTATGCTCACTGTTCTGTGGGTTGGTTGGATAGCTCTGAGAGGGGAAACTAAAGGGACTTCCTTTTTAGAAAGGCTCCATCTCTGCTTTTTCTGCCAGGCCCCATTTCCTCATGTTCTGTATTTCACCTTGCATCTGAATAAGTCAAAGAAGCTATGTTCCCATTCCAACGGGGAAGCAAGAAAGTTAATCATTCTTTGAATTTCATCATAGGCCCCCAAATACCTGATGACATCCAAGAACTGGATCCTAAATGTGTTCCAGGACATTAGCTTTGAACAAACCTCTGCTGACGCTGATATCAATACCCCCTATCTTCAGTGATTTTTGAAATAACACCTATTGTTCACCTGTCACTCACCTTTGATCAGACCCTGCCCTGGATTCCTGAAGAAACATGTACCCTGGACCTCTTTCCAGTATAAACCCCTAACCCCAAGCAATAAAGAGACTCATTCTCCTTCCCTTTCCAAGTCTCCCAGACACTCCATCTGCTATACTCAGTCACTTACACAACTCAGCAAACTCTGCTTTCACTTCCTCCTGGCTTGAATTTGATTTCTATCCTGTGTGAAGCCAAGGAAGGACTCTCTTGCCTTGTCCTGTGGGACCCCCCTCTGGGTCCTCAGACCTGGCCTGCCTATGTCAGTTCTGCAGGTTCTGCGGGACCCACTCATGTAATTGCATGTAGGTTGACTACACTGGAATGTGGGCCTTACAGATCTGTCATTTGGGCGCTGGCTGTCAGGTCTCTCCTGCATAGCGGGATAGATTCCATGGCAGGATGGATTGGCTCTAGCGTGGTGGCTTCACGCAGCATTCCAAGAGGGCAAAAGCTGTCTGCTGGTGAAATGTATTGCCGTCACCGTTTCTGAAGTTTGAAAAGTACATCTGTGGGCAGGACCCACTGTCATGACCTCGCCACTTCTTCCCTTGCAATGTGACCTTGATGCCTAAAATGACATCAAACTAAAATGTTTTGTTTTTTATGTTTAGAGCCTTGAAAGGTGGGCTTCCTTTAACTGAGGTGTTGCATAAATACAAAAATTACCGTGACATAGAGTAAGATACAAAGACAAAAATATCCTTTATACTTTTTTTCCTTTTACTTTGTCTTAGTTTTTAAAAGTTATGTATTTCAAATCAAATAATCCTAGCTTTGGGGCACCTTGAACTTATAATGACAGTATATCAAATCCATCTCTTTCCAGATAAAAGACAGATTGTCTAATGTTCCAAGAGTCCTTGTCATCCACAACTTTCCCCATTTTCTGTTTTTCTGACTCAGAAATGATGGTTTCCGATGTTCCCTGATGATTAGTAGTTTTGTGAAAAATAAGCAGGGATTAGCAGAATGAGGATACCTTAGTCAATTTCCTCAATTATTATAGGCTTGGAGTAGCAACACATGAAGATTTAATAACTAGGATTAAGGAAAAAACAGCTGATGGATGGCATTGGAAAGTTGCCTGGAAATTTTTTGCTTGGGGTCAAAAGAATAAATAAATTAATGAAGTTGATCATAGGATATATTATTTTGATGTTTCATTATGTAACAAGCTAAAATATAAATATAATAGTTATTTTAAAATACTTAAAAAAATATATTTTTTTAAGTAATCTCTACACCCAACATGGGGCTGAAGCTTAAAACCCTGAGATTAAGAGCTGCATGCTCCAACTGAGCCAGCCTTGCATCCCTTAAAATATTTTTTTATAGTCAACATCATAATTGACTAAATCAAAGGCTCATTTCAGCTCTCTTCTTACCTTGCCAGGTGTAACCTATCCACAGAGAAAACACTGGTGGGCCTTCCTTGTCACATGGTGATGGTAACTGGAATTACAGAAATGGGGTCTAGGAGAAAATAAGTAAGTACCTTGCTCCTTGGGGGCTTTTATTTTTATTTATTTAGTTAGTTATCAACTAACATCTTGTTTATTTTTTTAGAATTTATTTTTTTAAAGATTTTATTTTTTATTTATTTGAGAAAGAAAGCGTAAGTCAGGAGGGGTGGGGGTGGACAGAGAGAGAAGCAGACTCCCTGCTGAGCAGGGAGCCTGATGCAGGGCTCAATCCCAGGACTCTGAGATCACAACCTAAACCTAGAGCAGACACTCAACCGACTGAGCCCCCCAGGTGCCCCCTTTTTTTTAATTTAAATTCAATTAGCCAACATATAGTATATGACTAGTTTTAGATGTAGAGTTCAATAATTCATCAGTTACATATAACAGGGCTTTTTTTTTTTTTTAAATCATTCTCTATTAAGTGGTTACAAAACACACAGTTGTTGCTTAAGACATCTGGTACTCTGAATAACAGAAAACTTAGCAAAAGCTTTGGATTTCTAATCTTCTAGACAATGCACAAATTTCAAAATATGAATGGCCAATTTACCCACTCTGTAAAATCTAGAAACTGCTACTTCAGCTGAAGAAGAGCCTTTGCTCTTCTGGAGTTTTAGCTCATCATTCATTGAGCTCTTACCAGCTCTTACCTGGACGTTATCTAGGTGGGCCTGACCTAACTGTATTAACTCTTTAAAAAGTAGGGAGTTTGGGGGCGCCTGGGTGGCTCAGTTGGTTAAGTGACTGCCTTTGGCTCAGGTCATGATCCTGGAGTCCCGGGATCGAGTCCCGCATCGGGCTCCCTGCTCGGCAGGGAGTCTGCTTCTCCCTCTGACCCTCCCCCATCTCATGCTCTCGCTCTCTCTCTCATTCTCTCTCTCAAATAAATAAAATCTTAAAAAAAAAAGAGAGAGAAAGCAAAAAAAAAAAAAAAAGTAGGGAGTTTTCTCTCTGGCTGGTTGCAGGAGGTGAAGTTTGAGGACTGTGCCCTGGCTGGCCTGGAAGAAAGCAAACATACCATGTTGTGAAGTAACAATGGTGGCCACAGGGGAAGAGACCTAACAGTAGCCTTTAGTTGCTCAGAGCAGGTCCCACTGACAGCCAGCAAGTAAATGGAACTTCAATCCTACAACCACAAGGAACTGAATTCTGCGAACTACACCAATGAGCTTAGAAGTGAATTTTTCCCCAGAGCCTCCAGACAAAAACTCAGTTCAGCTGACTCTTTGGTTTCAGCCTTGTAGTACCCTGAGCAGAGAACACAGCCCCCATGCCAGAGTTCTGAACAGGTGGTAAGGTAGAGGATGGGAGAGAAACTCAGGTGACTCTGTAATGACCCCTCTAAATTCTCTAACGACCTCTGCCTTTGAGAATCAGCGTACTGAAATTACATTGTGAAACTGGGGTGTAACAAAGATTTACAACAAAAGGAAGATAAGAATAAATAAAATGTCGTGTGGCCCTGACTCATGATGAGTCACATGCTATGATAGTAGCAAGCCCAGTACAGCCACATTTTTTTTTTTTAAAGATTTTATTTATTTATTTGAGACAGAGAGAATGAGATACAGAGAGCATGAGAGGGAGGAGGGCCAGAGGGAGAAGCAGACTCCCCGCCGAGCAGGGAGCCCGATGCGGGACTCGATCCCGGGACTCCAGGATCATGACCTGAGCCGAAGGCAGTCGCTTAACCAACTGAGCCACCCAGGCGCCCCAGTACAGCCACATTTAATTCACTATTGTCATGAATAAAAACTTCTGGTAGCAGGCACATATGTCATGTCTAGGCATATGTTTCACTGTATAAAAAACTTAGAAGCCCCTGCTAAACCTCAAAATTTCTTTATTATTTCACTCTCTGTGGCTTTGTTACTTTGTTTCTCTAAGGAAAGCAGATTTCTCATTGTTGTTGAGGTAACCATTTCTTCCTTTTTTGTTTATGGGGCATTCAGGAAAGTCCAATCTGTGCCTTTTTTATTTTTACTTTTCTTGCTAAGAAGACAAATTCAGTTGCATTTTAAACTGAATAGCCACTACCTATGATTTTAATATAAATACATAACCTTAGCCCTCTTTGATTGAGAAGTCATATTCATTCATTCAATCATCCAACAAATATCTATTGAGCCGCAGGTGTGTATCTTTAAGTTAGGCTCTGGGGATAGGGAGGAACAATATAACATGATCCCTGTTGGAGGAACATACAGCCTAGAGGTAGAGATGGGCTCCTAACAAGGAAATGCAATGCAGCAAGTCCAATGCTATGGGAGAGGCAAGGACAGGGAGTTGAGCAAACATTGAGGAGGAGTGGCTAATCCAGTTGGCGGGGGCGGTTATCAGAAAAGGCTTCCCTGAGAAGTGTTTCCTATTGCTGCTGTAACAAACTACCACAAACTTAGTGGCTTACAACAACATATATTTGTACAGCATGGTGACTATACTTAATGAAAGTTGTTAAGAGAGTAGATCTTAAAAGTTCTCATCACAAGAAAAAAAAATGTAACTGTGTGGTGATGGATGTTAATTAAACTTATCATGGTGATAATTTCACAATATGTACAAAAATCAAATAATTATGTTTTATACCTGAAACTAATATAATGTTATATGCCAATTATATATCAATTTTAAAAAACAGCACAAATTTATTTTCTTGCAGTTCTGGTCACTGGACATTGGAAGTCCAAAATCAAGGTGTTCCAGGGCTGTATTCCTTCTGGATGCTCTAGAGAAGAATCTATTCCTTACCCTTTCCTACTTCTGTAGACCACATACATTCCTTGGCTCATAGGCCCCCTTTCAGCAATGGCATCACTTTGACCTCGACTTCCATATCTCATCTTCTCTCTCACTCTGATCCTCCTGCCTCCCTCTTTGTGAGGGCCTTTGTGATTACATTGGACCCACTCAAATAATCCAGGATAATGACCCCATTTCAAAATTCTTAAATTCTTAACCTAATCATATCTGTAAATTCTCTTTTACCATGTAAGGTAAGAGGTTCTCGGGATTAGGATGTGGATGTCTCTGTGGGACAAGGGGGCATTATTTAGCCTGCCACAGGAAGCAACTAGAGAAGGGGATTGAAGAGTCTCCAGACAATGGAAACATGGGGAAATGCATAAAAGAAATCTAGATGTGGGGAATTTCAGAACTTTATACTAAAGTGTCCTTGGCTATAAAATAATATATAAATAAAATAATAGTGTTTACCCCACCTCATCATATAGGATGAGATAATACATGTAAAGCTCTAAAACCAGTGTGTTCATTCTGTGCTCTTGCATAATGTTAGTCACGGTGATGATGAGTAAAGGAGGAGGAAATCTACAAAAGAGGCTAAAATAGTAAGCAGAGACCAGCAGTTTTGTTGAATTAACCTGAGAGGGATTCACTCAAGAACTTTAAGCAGAGGGATGCCTGGGTGGCTCAGTCAGTTAAGCATCTGCCTTCAGCTCAGGTCATGATCTCAGGGTCCCGGGATCAAGCCCCGCATCAGGCTCCCCGCTTGGCGGGGAGTCTGCCTCTCCCTCTGCCCACTGCTCCCCCTGCTTGTGCTCTCTCTCTCTAATAAATAAATAAAATCTTTTTAAAAAAAAAAAAAAGAATTTTAAACAAATGTGGCATGACTACATATGTATTTTAGTTGACTGTCCTTGCTGATTGGAAAACAGATTGCAAGAGACAAGATAGAGGTAGTAAGTAGGGCTTGAGCAAGGGTCAAGTGAGTGAAGAAGCACTTGCTTTATATGCACAATTGAAGGAGGCACCAGAAGATTCAGTAAACAAGATAAATGACATTTTAATGCAATTTTTTTTTTTTTTAAAGATTTTTAAGTAATCTCTACACCCAGCGTGGGGCTCAGACTCAGGGCCCTGAGATCAAGAGTCATACACTCTACTGACTGAGCCAGCCAGGTGCCCCAATGAAATATTTTTTAAAAATCAAAATTAATGCAAAAAAAAATCCATGATGAACAATTTATGGAAATCACAAATAAAGTCAGGGTTGTTAGGGAGATTATTGAGATTATTAGATGAGAGATGATGACAGCCTGAAGCAGAGAAGTAACAGTGGCTGTAAAGATAGCTGGATGGATTAAGGATAGCTGTGAAAGGAATTGTGGCAGGGAGGGTTGGTCTGTGTCTGAGAGAATATACTCAAGGGGAAGCAAAAGTTTAGATAGGGGAAAGGGTAGAATGTGTCAAGGAGGAAATTAAAATCTATTTTGGACATACTTAGCTTAAGAAGACTCTAATACATTCAACTTGGAGATTCCAGTAGACAGTTGAAAAATATGAGTTTTTTCAAAGCAAAAATTATTCATCAAGCTTTTCTGCTCCCTCACCTGTTAGCCTCTAAGGTTCTTCACTATTGTCTTCCTGCCAGACCAGTTCTATGGGAGGAAAGAAAAGGATCTCGAAGGACCTAACTCCTTGGAGTACAGGAGCAAAAGATTGGGAGCTAATTTTTAGAAGGGAGATGACCAAGGAGTGTCAGGCATGTGTTAGAGCAACTGATGGATCTTCACTTTGTCCCTGAACCATTTTCAGATCATTACATTTGCACTCTCTCTGTTCCTTTATGATTCATGACATCAATCTTTAACCTTTGTTGGTACTGTCACTTATTGACAACTTGGTCATTACCTCTTTCTCATCAAAGACTTGACCCCTGGGTGAACCAGCCATATCCTGTTATTAACCTGGAGCTCTTTCACTCTAAAATCTTACATGCAAACATACCACTCTAGAACTTTGATCTTCCTTCCAATTCTTCCCTTAGTCACTTCTGTTAACCATCAGTTCCTTGAGCTCATCAAGACTTAGTTGCCCTTGGCCCTCTGACATGGGTGTCTATCAGCTGCTTTCTACTTTAATTTCTGTTTCTATCCTGTTTATATTGCAGTGGTGCATCACTTCAGACATTTTGTATCAATATCCTCAATTCCCATACTTTATTTCCTTTTGTCATATCACCGGATAGACTAACTCTGCAAGGACTATCATATAAATAGATG